TAGGAGTGTTCCTCTCTCTCCGCAACCATGCCAGCATTTATTGTTTGGAGATTTTTTGATAAAAGCATTCTCACTGGGGTCAGTGATATCTCATTGTGGTTTGATTGCATTTCCTGATGATTAGAGATGTTGAGCATTTCTTCATATGTTTGTTGGCCATTCTTCTGTCTTCTTTAGAAAAATTTCTGTTCAAGTCTTTGCCCACTTTTTAATGGGGTTGTTTGATTTTTCTTCCTGATTTTCGTGAGTTCTAAGTATATTCTAGTTATCGCTCCTTATCGGATGCATAGGATGCAAAATTTTCTCCCATTCTGTAGGTTGTCTGTTTACTTTCATGACTATTCTTTGGCTGTGCAGAGCTTTGTAGTTTGATCATGTCCCATTTATTTATTTTTGTTGCTGCTGTGATTGCTTTGGGACTCTTCATAAACTCTTTGCCCAGGCCGATGTCTAGGAGAGTGTTTCCAACTTTTTCCTCTAGAGTTCTAATAGTTTCATATCTTAGGTTTAAGTCTGTTATCCAGCATGAGTTGGTTTTTGTGAGAGGTGAAAGGTGTGGGTCCTGTTTTAGCCTTCTACAGGTGGCTATCCAGTTTTCCAGCACCATTTATTGAAGAGAGATTCTTTTCCCAGTGATGTTTTTGTCTGCTTTGTCAAAGATGAGATGGCTATATGAGGATGGTTTATATCAGGATTCTCACTCTGTTCACTGGTCAATATTCCTGTTTTGTGCCAATACCATATTGTTTTAATTACTACAGCTTTGTAGTATAGTTTGATATCTGGCATATTAATGCCTCCCATTTTGTTTTTGTTGCCTAGAATTGCTCTTGATATTCGGGTCTTCTTTGGTTCCATACGAAGCGTAAAGTATTTTTATATATCTGTGAAGAATGCTGATGGGATTTTAATAGGTATTGCATTGAATCTGTAGATCAGTTTGGGTAGTATAGACATTTTGATGATATTGAGTCTGCCGATCCACGAGCATGGTATGGATTTCCATCTGTTTACATCCTCTGCTATTTCCTTCCTCAGTGTTTCATAGTTCTCCCTGTAGAGGTCTTTTACCTCTTTGGTTAAATATATTCCTAGGTACTTTAATTTCTTTGTTGCTATTGTGAAGGGAATTGAGTCTTTGATTTGGTTTCAATTAGATTGTTGTTGGCGTATATGAATGCTCTGATTTCTGTGTATTGATTTGTATGATGGGACATATCTTAAAATTATAAAGCCATATATGATAAACCCACAGCCAATTACATACTGAATGGGAAATTGAAAGTATTCCCACTTAGAAGGAACCAGACAAAGTTGCCCACTATTCTACTTCTATTCAACATAGTGCTGGAAGTCCTTGCCAGAGCAATCAGACAAGAGAATGGAATTAAGGGTGTCCAAATGCAGGCAGAAGAGCTCAAACTCTCACTCTTCCTGGCAATATGATATATCTAGAAAATCCAAGGATTCAACCAAGAGACTCCTGGAATTGATAAATGAATTCAGTAAAGTCTGAATACAAAGTTAATGCATACAAATCAGTGGCATTCAATATATGCTAATAACAGTCAAGCCAAAAATCAAATCAAAGATGAAACACTTTTCACAATAGCATCAAAGAAATTAAATATTTAGGAATATATTTTACAAGGAGGTGAGAGACCTATATAGGAAGAACTATGAAACGCTGAGAAAAGAAATTGTACTAAATGTAAATAGATGGAAAACTCTACCATGCTCATGGATTGGCAGAATCAATATTGTTAAAATGTTCATACTACCTAAAGTGATCTATCTACAGAATTAGTGCAATTCCTATCAAAATACCATCATCACTCTTTACAGACGTAGAGAAAATAATTCTATGCTTCGTATGGAACCACAGAAGACTTCGTATAGCCAGAGCAATCTTTTTTTTTTTTTTTTGAGACAGAGTCTCGCTTTGTTGCCCGGGCTAGCATGCCGGCATCAGCATAGCTCACAGCAACCTCAAACTCCTGGGCTCAAGCAATCCTTCTGCCTCAGCCTCCTGAATAGCTGGGACTACAGGCATGCACCACTATACCTGGCTAATTTTTTTCTATATATTTTTAGCTGTTCAAGTAATTTCTTTCTATTTTTAGTAAAGATGGGGTCTCACTCTTGTTCAAGGTAGTCTCGAACTCCTGAGCTCAAACAATCCACCTGCCTTGGCCTCCCAGAGTGCTAGGATTACAGGTGTGAGCCACCATGCCTGGCCAAAGCCAAAGCAATCTTAAGCAAAAAGAACAGATTGGGAAACATCAGTCTACCAGACTTCAAGCCAAAACAGCATGGTACTGGCACAAGAACAGAGATGTTAACCTTTGGAACAGGACTGAGAACCCAGACATAAAACTATCCTAATACTGTCATCTAATCTTTGACAAAGCAGACAAAAATATACATTGGGGAAAAGAATCCCTATTTAATAAACGGTGCTGGGAAAATTGGATAACCACATGCAAAAGATTAAAACTGGCTCCCCGCCTCTCACCTCTCACAAAAATCAACTCACGATGGATAAAAGACTTAAACGTAAGGTGTGAAAACTTAATGATTCTAGAGAAAAATGTTGGAAACACTCTTATAGACAATCGGCCTAGGCAAGGGATTTATGAAGAAGACCTCCAAAGCCATCACAGCAGCAACGAAAATAAATAAATGGGACCTGATCAAATTTAAAAGCTTCTGCACAGCACAGGAAACTATCATTAGAGTGAATAGACAACCTACAGAATGGAAGAAAATATTTGCATGCTACACATCCAATAAAGAGCTGATAAGAATAATCTATATAGAACTTAAGAAAATTAACAAGAAAAAAATCAAACAACCCCATCAAAAAGTGGCAAAGGACATGAACAGAAACTTTTCAAAAGAAGACAGGATAATGGCCAGCAAACATATAAAAAAGTGCTGAACATCTCTAATCATTAGGGAAATGCAAGTCAAAACCTCAAGGAGATATCACCTAACTCCAGTGAGAATGGCCCTTATCAAAAAGTCCCCAAACAACAAATGCTGGTAGAGATGTGAAAAGATAGGAACACTCTTACACTGCTGGTGGGATTGCAAATTAGTACAACCCCTGTGGAAAGTAATTTGGAGTATCTCAAAGAGCTAAAAATAGAAATACCGTTTGATTCACCAATCCCACTACTAGGCATCTACCCAAAAGAAAAACAGACATTCTATAATAAAGACATCTGCACTCAAATATTTATGGCAGCACAATTCACAATTGCAAAGTTGTGGAAATAACCCAAGTGCCCATCAATACATGAGTGTATTAATAAAATGTGATATATGTATACCATGGAATACTACTGAACTACAAAAAAGCAATGGTGAACTAGCACCTCTTATACAATACTGGATTCCAAGCTTGAGCCCATCCTTCAAAGTGAGGTATCACAAGAAAGGATAAACAAGCACTGCATGTACTCACCATCAAATTGGTACTAACTGATCAACATTCACATGGTAGTAATATTCACTGGGTGCTGGTCAGGTAGGAGGGGGGTGATGGGAGTGGGTAAACTCACAGTTAACAGATGCGGTACGGCTGTACAGGGAAAGGGCAAGCTTGTAGCCCTGGCTTGGGTGAGGCAAAGGCATTATATATAACCAAAATGTTTTTACCCCCATGATATTCTGAAATAAAAAAAGAAAAAACTAAAGACTCCACAAAAAAACTCTTAGACTGATAAATTCACTAAAGTTGCAGAATACAAAATCAATATACAAAAAATCAGTAGCATTTCTATACACCAATAATTAACTAGCTGAAAAAGAAATAAAGCAATCCTATTTACAATAGCTATAAAAGAAATAAAATACCTAGGAATAAATTTAACCAAGGAAGTGAAAGATCTCTACAAGGAAAACTACAAAATACTGATGAAAGAAATTGAAGAAGACACAAACAAATGGAAAGACATCTCATACTCATGGATTGAAAAAATTAATATTATTAAAATGACCAAACTACCTGAAGCAATCTACAGATTCAATGTATTCCCTATAAAAATACCAAAGACATTCTTCACAGAAATAGAAAAAGAATTCTAAAATTTATATGGAATGGAAAAAAAAAAAGCCTGAAGGGCCAAGCAATCCAGAGCACAAAGAAAAAAGCTGGAGGCAACACAGCACCTGACTTCAAAATATATTACAAGGCTATATTAACCCAAAGAACACAGTATTGGGATAAAAACAGACACACAGACCAATGGAACAGAATAGAGAAACCAGAAATAAATCCATGTTTTTAAAGCCAACTGATTTTTGACAAAGGCACCAAGAACATACAGTGAGAAAAGGACAGATAAATGGTTTCGGGAAAACTGGATATCCATATATAGAAGATTGAAACTAATCATTACACCTTCTATGCATGTAACAAAATATCACATGTACCCCATAAATATGTAAAAATATTATATATCAATAAAAAGTAAGGGTGATTATCTGAAGACAGTGTGATTACATTTGATTATCACTTTCTTCTTTGTTATTTAATGCACTTAATACATTTTATATTAATAACATGAAAATGTGTTACTTCTATAATTAGAAAAATAAGTACTTTCCAGACATTCTAATAATGAATATGGGATTAGCTCTGCCTGGAATAATTGGACAATATCTAAAAGAGGATTCAAAAGAGAGGATTTTGCACTTTTTCTCTGTTATTCATACACACACACACAAAAAAACACACACACACACTCCACACATCATTTGAAATATATTTCCATACGAAGTAAAGATTGATCATCTTTAAGATTTACTTCCAAGTAAAGATGAGTCATCAAGAAAGGTAAGAAATACAACAAAGAAACTAAAGACAGAATATTTTTAAACCTTTAATTTTTCACATGAAACAAAGTTCTATTGCTTTGTTGCAATGAGAACTTGCTACCAAATGTATCATTATGACAGTTACTTTCTAATGCTTTCATCATCAAAAGAGTCTGGTGACATCACCATTAATAGAAGACTCAAACAGCAGGAGAGTAGTGTATAATATCTGATTTTATTTATTTATTTATTTATTTTGGCAAAGAAACGTCTATCGTAGCACTTCTCTGTGTATCACCAAAACTAAAGGTAAAGTGACTCTTAGGAAAGGACTGTATAAAAGTTTGGATGATCATGGAAAAATGATAGCTGGGATCTTCCCAAAATATTGGCCTTAAAAGTATATCATACAGAATAGTAGGTGACACATTAACATATTACTGGCTTTTAAGAATAATGTCATTGAGGGCATACTGTCAAAAATAATCTGTCTAGATGGACTGCAGTCTTACCTCATTCATATGGTATTTCAAATGATCTTGAATTTAAAAGATGATCATTTCACATTGCTGGGACACTAAAATTGTGTCCAAGTTAAGCCTGTCTAGTATGGTATTATCTATAGAAGAACTTTCTAATAGAAATATAATGCAAGTCATAGTTGTCACTTTAAATACTCAGGAACCATATTGCAAAAAGGTAAAAAGAAACAGATAAAATTCCTTTTAATAACATATTTTATTTAACCCACTATCCAAAATTTCATTTCAATTGGTAGTCAATATAAAATTTATTATTGAGATGTCTTAAATTCGTTTTTTTCATATTAAGTCTTCAAACTCCACTGTTTGGACTAGCAATGTTTCATGAGCTTACTAGCCATATGTGGCTATTGACTATTTTTTTTTTTTTTTTGAGACAGAGTCTCACTCTGTTGCCTGGGCTAGAGTGCCATGGCATCAGCCTAGCTCACAGCAACCTCAAACTCCTGGGCTCAAGTGATCCTCCTGCCTCAGCCTCCCGAGTAGCTGGGACTACAGGCATGCACGGCTAATTTTTTCTATATATTTTAGTTGGCCAATTAATTTGTTTCTATTTATAGTAGAGACGGAGGTCTCACTCTTGCTCAGGCTGGTTTCAAACTCCTGACCTTGAGCAATCTGCCCACTTCGGCCTCTCAGAGTGCTAAGATTACAAGCTTGAGCCACCATGCCCAGCCAACTATTGACTATTGTATTGGAAGGTACAGGTTTAAAACATCTCACTCCTTAAATATTTAAAAATTAAATATCAGAGACCTCTCTTTTACTCCAGTACACATCCCAAAGGCAAGACCTACTCTTGGAAGATGCCCACCAAAAACCAGTTTATGCTTGTAAACAGACATCTAATCTAACACCTTCAACACAAGCTCAATGCATTGGCTAGAACCAAGGATTCCATTTTAGAGCTTAATGCCTTTAATTTAGACTTTTAATCACTGTTTACAAGGATATACCTTTGAGAGAGCTCATATATTTTTAGGTTCCTAGTCCTACAGTTTTTGAATAAAATGCTGGTCTCACTATCTCTGTGAAATAAATACATAAAAATCAACTTTGAGGCAGAATAGATCACAGTGCACAAGGACATCTCCAGAATTACCTCATTTTATGTTCACAGAGGCACAAATGAAATAGGAAGAGAGTTTTATTGAATTTCTTTTATTCAATCAGGATGAATTTTGATAAAGGAATACAAAGGTGTGTCATAGACACTTTGCACCTAATCTAGAAAGAATCGGTCAGTATCCTAAGGGCAATTGCCAGGCACTTCAAACAGAACAGGTGGTTTTTCTGACCCAAGGATGCCTTCTTCCTAAGGCTGAGAATTCTACAATCAGACACTTAGACTGGTGACCAAATTTCCATAAATTAATTTATTGTTAGAATATGCCAAGGAAGTAGTTTTTTACTTCCCCAAAAATCTCTATCCTCCTTTTCTAGGAGAGAATGAATTTGAAAAGAAAAATGCTGTTAATGATTTTGTGTGCTTTATCACTGTCATTGATTGAGCGTCATTTCAGGTAAATATAAAATATTAATGAATCATCATCTTTAATGATTGGCAGAGTTGATCTAAAATGCTAAGCTTTGTCCAAAAGATAACACTCCCTAAATTAATTAGAAATAACCTCTTCTTGGGGGAAAATATATATTAATTCTTTCATTTTCTTCAACATTCAATAACTATTTATTGACCACTTTCTTGGTGCCAGGCCCTGTTCAAGGTGCTGGAAAAACAGCAATGACCTAGAGTCACTGCTCTTATGGAGCTTCTCATTCTATGTAGAGAAGAGTGACAATAAACAAATAAATATATCATATAATGCCAAGGATGGTACATTTTATATAATAATGCTATGAAGAAAGAAATAAGGCAAGATAAGAAGAGAGTTTTGGGCTGCTGTTTTAGATAAATTTTAAACTACATCAAAGTCCATTTAATGTGAACAAGACTCAAAGTAACCTGCTATAGAGACATGGCTGTAGTGGGGAACCAATTACTTAACCTGCTAAAATTTTCTCACTCAGATTCAAATTATTACTTCCTCCATGCCCTCCTCTTGTGGTCTTCTTTATAAGCATGCACCTTACTGAATGCTGTTTAAAAAGCAGCTATCTTGTGAGAACTAATGTATTTTAAAATTAACGCTATTGGTTTGGTGTTGTACATGTTATTTGCTCTCCATAGGTATTGTACCTTAATGGAAAGGATTCATGGCCAGTTACAATAGTATTAACAGCATCTTTTTGAGGATAATATATGGGTATCTTAGTCAAAAAGGAAATAATAGACCAAATCTAATGGTAGGCCTGGATTTTGTCATGTATTCCAGAACTGTAGAATTATGCTTGGTATATACTAAGCATTTAGTAATTATATGGCTAACAAATGAGTGAATTAATGAATTTGAATTCTAGATTTTTTTCTCATTCTAATTGCAATAGGCCTTTATTCAAATTTAAAACTTAAATGACTTTTTTCATTTATCTAAAGAATAAAGAATCACCTACAGAAGATGTATGACTGCTGGTAAGAATCTATTCTATTAATATAAATATTCTACAAACTATTGAGGGCAAACTGGCAGAAGTCAAATGTATTCTAATAGTGGGTAAGCAGAAAGAACAGAAAACTAGACTGAATTCTCCAGAGATAATCACTGATAAATTTCTTCAGTGTCAGTTCATAAATATTCCACACACATGCATATATATATGTATATGAGTTTACATGAACAAGTGTATGTGTACATCTCCAAAAATTTGGCTCACATACTCACCTGCTTACACTGGGCAAATTTCTGACATTTGTTATTATTTAAGTATCTCTACCCCCTTTAGTAGACCATGTTTTCTTCCATTGACTACCGTGTAGGACCCCCAAATTAGTGAAGCCAACCCTGAAAAGAATGAACTTTTTAAAAGTTCTCCATTTGTCACTGTACATTTTTAATGAATTTATGCATGGACAATTTAGATTTTGAAAGAACACCAGTCCTGGGGAATCCCATAATGAAATATCTTTGGCCAAAGACACCTCAAAAAATATCATAAAGGACATACTCTTTAAGGTGTTTTTTTTTCATTTTATTTTGAAATAATAATAGATTCACAGGAAGCTGCACATAGAAGCCATGTTTACCTTTCACTCAATTCCCCCAAAGTTATATCTTACATCATTGTACTAGTAATAATCAAAATCAGGAAATTAACATTGAGACAAAGTGCCTGTATAGTTATGTCATTTTATCATATGTGTAGATTCATGTAACAGAACTACTGATACTTCATCACCACCAAAATGTCCTATTTAAACTCACAGGCAACTCCCTCTCCCAGACCCTACTTAACCTCTGGTACCATTACAAACCTATTTTCCATCTCTATAATTTTGCCACTTGAGAATATTTCATAAATGGAAGCATACAGTATACAACCAGTTGGGACAAGCATTTTTCACTCAATGCAATGCCCTTGAGATCCAACCAAGTTGTTGTGTTTATCAATGGTTTACTCCTTTTTATTGCTATGTAGTATTTCATGAATAGATGTACCAAAGTTTATCTAACCAGGGACATTTTTTTTTTGAGACAGTGTCTCACTCTGTCGCCCAGGCTAGAGTGCCATTGGTGTCAGCCTAGCTCACAGCAACCTCAAACTCCTGAGCTCAAGTGATCCTCCTGCCTCAGCCTCCCAAGTAGCTGGGGGACATGCACCATCACTCCTGGCTAATCTTTTCTAATTTTAGTAGAGACGGGGTCTCACTCTTGCTCAAGCTGGTCTTGAACTCCTGAGCTCAATCGATCCTCCTGCCTTAGCCTCCCAGAGTGCTAGGATTACAGGCGTGAGCCACTGTGCCTGGCCCAACCAGGGATATTTTTGATGACAGTTATTTTCTTATAGCACCCGAAAAATACTTTGCCACTTCCTTTTGGCCTCCATGGTTTCTGATGACAATGCCATTCACATTGGAATCATTTCTCTCTGAGTGCTTTTGAGATTTTTAATTTTTAGTTTTCAGAAGTTTGACTATCTTATGCCTTGGCATGGATTTCTTCAGGTTGATCCCAGTTAGGGCTCATTCAGCTTCTAAATCTGTTTATCTTTTGCCAAATTTGAGGGATTTTTAGCCATGATTTTTTTCAAATTACTTTTTTCAGCCCCACTTTCTTTTCCCTCTCCTTCTTAGACTGCAAATATATGCATATCTTTTAGTCCCCCATATTCTTGAGACTGTTCTTTTTTATGTTTGTTTTCCTCTCTGTTGTTCAGATTGAGTGATTTCTATTATTCGATCTTCAAGTTCACTGATTCTTTCCTCTGTCCTCTCCACTTTGTTGTTGAGCCCATCCATTGAGTTTTTCATTTTAGTTATTGTATTTTTAAGTTCGAAAGTTTACATTTGATATTTCTTTTTTTTTTTTTTTTT